TTTTGTAGCCTTGTCAGTCTGGCCCCTTTCACCACTCTGACGTTTACTTTAAAAGTACAGTTGGACAGGTTTAACATACTTTCCAGGGTATATTGCATTCAAGCCCCCCTCACCTGAAAGCGTTATCAGGACAAAACCATTCTCCATGTCACAAGGATGCCATCTTAATACCTCCCCCAATGCACACACATTTGGATTTAAACTGTTATGAGCATGTTCTTTAATCAGATTTGCATCCCAGCTTTGTCATGGTACCTATGAAAGCAATGCTTTGTAAGAGGAAATAGCATCTTTCTTCCATTGGCAGATATGGGGTGTCTTTTTATATTTGTGTGTATGTAACATACTGGCCAAATGTATATGTCCCATCTGAGGCTGTTCCATAGACTGCAGTGGTTCTCAACCAGGGGTACATGTACCCCTGGGGGTACACGGAGGTCTTCCACAGAGTCCATCAACTCATCTAGATATTTTCTAGTTTTACAACAGGCAACATAAGCATTAGTGAAGTCAGTACACACTAAAATTTCATAATGTTTATACTGCTGTATATACTATACACTGAAATGTAAGTACTGTACAATATTTATATTCAAATTGATTTATTTTATATGGTAAAAATGAGAAAGTAAGCAATTTTTCAGTAATAGTGTGGCTGTGACACTACTGCATTTTTATGTTTGATTTTGTAAGCAAGTAGTTTTTAAGTGAAGTGAAATTTGGGGTACGCAAGACAAATCAGACTCCTGAAAGGGGTACAGAAGTCTGGGAAGGTTGAGAGCCACTGCCATAGAGTAGTGATTCTTGCAAGTGCTGTCAGCTTATGTTGGCTCCATTGCTTGAGGTCTGTCCTTGAGAGATATAGGTGCCTGGTTCAATCCTGGCGGATGTCCCCCTATTTATATATAAACCTATTTTATTAAGATGAGAGTTTATATTCACAAGTGGGTATGCCCATGTTGCCTGATACTCAAGCTTACCTGTCGGGGTTTGAATGTAATCACCTCCACTCTGATTACCATAAACACTTTGATAACCTACCCTTTACCAGCTGTCAGAGAAGTCTTATCACTCTTTGCTAGGGAATTTGCTCCTGTGATTCTGGAATACCTGTCTAATGTACAGGAGATTATTTCTATGGAGAAGTTCGTCCTGTTTGTACAGGACAGGTCTTTGGACTATAAAATTACTGTGTAGGCATCATGGTGTGCTTGTGTGCAGCAAATTAGCCGTTGCATGACTAAACCACTGATTCTGTCTTCATCTGATCATGCTGTGTGTCAGGAGGGGTGGGTTGTGGCTGGGAGCTATTTCCTTCCTTCCTGGGGTTCTTTAGTATGAAGATCCACCACTCTTGTGGCCATACTTCACAAGGAAAGGAATGACTTTCCCCTTGTTAAGACAAGTGAATTGTTTAGTGTGAGGGGAGAAAGCTCCCTGTGCTATGAGTCCTGCTGGCCATACTGGGTCAGACCAAAGGTCCATCTAGCCCAGTATCCTGTCTTCTGACACTGACCAATGCCAGGTGCCCCAGAGGGAATGAACAGAACAGGTAATCACCAAGTGATCCATCCTCTGTTGCCCATTCCCAGCTTCTGGGAAGCAGAGGCTAGGGACACCATCCCTGTCCATCCTGGCTAATAGCCATTGATGGACCTATCCTCCATGAAATTATCTAGTTCTTTTTGAACCCTGTTATAGTCTTTGCCTTCACAACATCCTCTGGCAAGGAGTTCCACAGGTTGACTTGTGCATTGTGTAAAAAAATATTTCCCTTTGTTTGTTTTAAACCTGCTGCCTATTAATTTAATTGGGTGACCCCTAGTTCTTGTGTTATGAGAAGGAGTAAATAACACTTCCTTATTTACTTTCTCCGCATCAATCATGATTTTATAGACCTCTATCATATCCCCCCTTAGTCTCTTTTTTAAGATGAAAAGTTCCAGTCTTATTAATCTCTCCTCCGATTCCAATATATCTTTTTTGAGATGGGGCGACCACATCTGCACGCAGTATTCAAGATGTCGGTGTATCATGGATTTATATAGAGGCAAGATGATATTTTCTGTCTTATTATTATGTATCCCTTTCTTAATGATTCCCAACATTCGGTTTGCCTTTTTGACTGCCGCTGCACATTGAGTGGATGTTTTCAGAGAACTATCCACAATGACTCCAAGATCTCTTTCTTGAGTGGTAACAGCTAATTTAGACCCCATCATTTCATACGTATAGTTGGGATTATGTTTTCCAATGTGCATTACTTTGTATTTATCAACATTGAATTTCATCTGCCACTTTGTTGCCCAGTCACCCAGTTTTGAGAGATCCTTTTGTAGGTCTTTGCAGTCTGCCTGGGACTTAACTATCTTGAGCAATTTTGTATCATCTGCAAATTTTGCCACCTCACTGTTTACCCCTTTTTCCAGATAATTTATGAATATATTGAATAGGACTGGTCTCAGTACAGACTCCTGGGGAACACCACTATTTACCTCTCTCCATTCTGAAAACTGACCATTTATTCCTATCCTTTGTTTCCTATCTTTTAACCAGTTACCAATCCATGAGAAGACCTTCCCTCTTATCCCGTGGCAGCTTACTTTGCTTAAGAGCCTTTGATGAAGGACCTTGTCAAAGGCTTTCTGAAAATCTAAGTACCCTATATCCACTGGATCCCCCTTGTCCACATGCTTGTTTACCTCCTCAAAGAATTTTAGTAGATTGGTGAGGCATGATTTCCCTTTACAAAAACCATGTTGACTCTTCCCCAACAAATTATGTTCATCTATGTGTCTGACAATTTTGTTCTTTACTATAGTTTCAACCAGTTTGCCTGATACTAAAGTCAGGCTTACCGGCCTGTAATTGCTGGGATCACCTCTGGAGCCCTTTTAAAAAATTGACGTCACATTAGCTATCCTCCAGTTATTTGGTACCAGGTAAATGATACGTTACAGACTACAGTTAGTAGTTCTGCAATTTCACATTTGAGTTCCTTCAGAACTCTTGGGTGAATACCATCTGGTCCATAAAAGACCAGGAGGAACTTTCCATTCATATCCCATCAAATGTTTCTCCTTATTGTTCAGAGCAATGTAAGAGAGTAATTCAGCTCTTAGCTCAGGTCCTGGTCACATTGCCACCGCTGTATCCTCAGCTAGGGTTGCCAGGCATCCAGTTTTAAACTGGAACACCCAGTCGAAAAGGGACCCTGGCAGCTCCGGTCAGCACAGCTGACCGGGCTGTTAAAAGTCTGGTCGGTGGCACAGCGGGGCTAAGGCAGGCTCCCTGCCTGACTTGGCTCCGCGCAGCTCCTGGAAACAGCTGGCATGTATTGCTCCTAGGTGCAGGGGCCAGGGGGCTCCACGTGCTGCCCCCGCCCTGAGCACCAGCTTGCAGCTCCCATTGGCCAGGAACCACGGCCCCTCCCCTCTGCCTAGGAGCTGGACATGCCGGCCATTTCCGGGAGCAGCCTGAGGTAAGTGCTGCCCGGCCGGAGCCCACACTCTGAACCCCCTCCTGCACCACAACCCTGAGCCGCCTCCTGCACCCAAACTCCCTCTTGGAGCCTGCACCCCAACCCTCTGCCTCAGTCCTGAGCCCCCTCTTTCACTCCACACCTCCTCATCCCTGGCCCCATCCCAGAGTCCACACCCCCAGCCGAAGCTTGCACTCTAACCCTCTGCCCCAGCCCTGAGCCCCCTCCTATACTCCGAACCCCTTGGCCTAGCACCCCCTCTGCACCCCAAACCCCTCATCCCCAGCCCTACCCTAGAGCCCTCACCCCCTCCTGCACCCCAACCCCCCTGCCCCAGCCCAGAGCCCCCTCCTGCACCTTGAACCCTCATTTCTGGCCCCACCTCAGAGCCTGCACCCCAAACCAGGGCCCCCTCCCACACCCCAACCCCCTACCCCAGCCGGGTGAAAGTGAGTGAGGGTGGAGGAGAGCGCATGATGGAGGGAGGGGGGATGGAGTGAGCGGGAGGCGGGGCCTTGGAGAAGGGGCAGGGCAGGGGCAGGGCCTCGGGAAGGGGTGGGGCAGAGGCAGAGCATGGGTGTTCCTTTTTGTGCAATTAGAAAGTTGGCAACCGTATCCTCAGCGCATGCCCACTTAGAGACCTGGAGGGTTGTGCTGAAAAGGAAAGGAACATACTGCATGGCTAATAGGCTCATTGTCTCCTCCCATGTGAGCCCATGGCAAAGTAATCATTAAATGTGTGATCACAAACTCAGTGCAATGGCAACAGACTGATGTCATTAGCACTGCATTAGGGCTCCAATCTAGAAATGGAGCTGGAGATACTGGACTGTGATGAAGATTCCCTTACATAAAAACTACAAGTGGCTGAAATATTTTCAGCACAGTCTTTCTTCTTCTCCTTCTTCCTTCTCCCCCCTCACCTCCCAAAGTGGCCTTTTAATTTTTTGGTGAAAAATTGCCTGTTTTCAAAAAATTTTTCACAAAAATTTATGTATTTTTTTTTTTAGAAGTTTACATCAGTTTATTTCCTTCCCATCCCCGCCCTTTTTCTTTTTGTATTTTGTTTTTTTCCTCTTGCTTTTTCAAGTCATTTTAAAAAACAAATTATTGGGAAAGGAAAAATAGGAAAGGAAAAACCAAAACAACAAATGAAATTTTTTGAAAATCTATCACAGCAAATTTATGGGGGGGAATATCCAATAATGGTTTACTTTGAACAATGTGAAACAAAATCAACTTCAACATTTTGACTTTTTTTTTGGTAGTTGTTTGTCCAGTTTTTGACTCGCTCTATTAAAACGTCAGTAATTTACCCAAGACTATTAAAGATATTCAGGACACATCCCATCTTGTTGTTAATCAATAAATGGATGTTTGGTGGCCTGTGGGAAATGAGTTGATGGTCTAAGTCCAGTTCCCAGTGAAGATACGGCCAAATTGCAAAACCCTAACTTATTGCTGGCAGTCTCAGCAGACCAAGTGTGAAATCCTGGCTGCACTGAAGTTAATGGCAAAACTCTCACTGACGTCTGTAGATTCAGGACTGAGGATGCATGAAGAGTGAATTCTCATCTTGGGGTGGTCCTTCCAATTCAAGCATGGGGGAAGTTCGCATTGCAGTTGTCTGTAGAATACTTGAGTTTCTGTCCCAGCCCAGCAGTTTTCACCTGCACTTAACTTATGCAGGGTTTTTGGTTTTTGTTTTATTTAAATCCACGAATTTCTTCAATGAGCACAAAGGAGAGGGTAAGTGCAGTGATCTCCCCGTAAGTCCTTTATCTCGTGTGCTTCTCTTATGAAAGGACGTAAAGTGCAAAGGTCTCCTTTTTAAAGTTGGGGAATGTGCTCATGTAAAAATGTCTTTCCAGGCTATTGGGACGGGACTCATTGCTAGACTTTATGAATTCCCAAGGATGTTTGCTAGGAGCCTGATCCAAAGCCCATATGCTTTTCCATTGACTCCCGTGGGCTATAGATCAGGCCCGAAAGCAGGGAATGGATCCGTTCAGCTCTAAAGGAAGGAAAGGGGCTGACCGTCAGGAAGAGCTGTGATGTCATGAAAGATGGAATCCTCCCTTTGCTCTGTGTATGGTGTAGACTGGTTTAAACTTCTAAATGATGCCAGCACTATGGTTAACTACCAAGCAAACCTGGTCTCTTGGAGTGGAACAATGGAGAGGCTAAAATAAGAGGCTGTCTGGGACGTGGGGAGTCGTGCCAGCATTTTCCTTGGTCTGTTTCCAAACAGATACAGTCTATGCTTGAGGAAACAAAAGAGATGAGTCATTCCTCTCAGTGAAGGTTATTATAGGAACCTCTCACCGCCTCCAATTTAGCCTTGGTTTGAGTGGTTAATTTTCTTTTCACTGTCCTTTCTGAAAAAGGGGAAGTAAAGTTCTAGTTCTAAAACATCTTACTGAGTCTATTAAATGAAACAATTTCTGACATAGGCTTTGATTGCCTCCCAAAATAGTATGGAGTTGCTATAGAGCATTACAGGATTAAAGCAGCAAGGACAAAAATTAATATCTTACATATTTAAATGTAAGAGAGAGCCCATATTTGAATCAGAGGCATCTGAATCTCTCATGTGAGGAGTTTTGCATCCAAAAGGAGATCGGCAGAGGGTCTGTAAACTGAGAAATGTCACGTAGCTTTGAGCACATGGCTTGTGCCAGGACTGGCTTTGTACGTGTGGAACTCTGGAGGAGAAATGAGGGAACAGTGGGTTCAGTTCTCCAGCCCAATTGGTTGAATTACCCACTAGCAGTGGCTGGGACACTCGGGATAATAGCTCGGGCTTCAAGGGCTGGAGGAAAATTTGGTTTTGCAGATGCTTGGGACCTAACTGATGCATTGCTTTGAAATTGCTGCCTTAGTGTGGCAACTGGCTCTACTTGGGGCCCTGTTTTTCAAATTTGCTGCAAGCAGAACTGCCCCTCTAGGAAGTGCTGAAAGGACAGGAATCCAGGAGGGATTTTTCAGATCCTTGTGCTGCCCAATAAGCCATCAGGCCTGCCATTTGCCTTCTAGATTGCACTGATGATTGCACTGCCGCCTCCCAGCCAGGTCCTTTCAGGCAGAAGCCGCTCCGTCCCGCTCTCCACCCAGCTGCAAGGAATGATGGCCAAATATGCAGGGGGCAGGTGCAGAGAGATAAAGAAAGAGAGCCCTTGCCCAGGGGCGGCTCTAGCTTTTTTGCCACCCCAAGCACGGCAGGCAGGCTGCCTTCGGCGGCCTGCCTACAGGAGGTCCGCCGGTCCTGTGGCTTTGGCGTACCCGCCGCCGAATTGCCATTGAATCCGTGGGACCGGCGGACCTCCTGCAGGCATGCTGCTGAAGGCTGCCTAACTGCCACTCTCGCAGGGACCAGCAGGGCGCCCCCTGCGGCTTGCTGCCCCAGGCACGCGCTCGGAGCGCTGGTGCCTGGAGCCATCGCTGCCCTTTCCCCTCCCAAAGGTAGCATGGGGCCAGGAGAGCGCTGCAGTCCCAGGCTGGGTTCAGGGCGGGAGAGGTCACTGGACAGGGGAGACATGTGGGGCAGTCACGCGTCCTCCCCTTTAGCTTGTGCCCCCCCCCCAATATGGGAGGCATCACTCGTCTATGGTCTTGCCATGGAGTCAGACAGACTGGAATGCCCAAAGCAAGCTGGACTATGTGATAGATGGTCACTTTATACCAAAAATCACAATATTCAGGTTCCTCCTGGTCCCAAAGGACCAGTCACTCAGCCCTGCTCAGTTGTACTCGGATCTCAAACCAAAGACAATGCTTGTAGCCAATCCTGTAATAAACCAACTAAAGTTTTATTAACTAGGAAAAGGAAATGAGTTATTGACAAGGTTACAGCAGATAAGTGTACATACACAAATGAGTTACAGTAAAAGAAAGGTAATAGAAACTTTGACAGTAAGCTGACTGCATATCTTTAAGGGCTAATCTAGGCAAAAGAACTATGGACTCCTTGCAAATGCTTAGAAATCCTCACCCCTCAGAGTTCAAACAGAATAGGTATAAGAAGTTCTCCTTAACAGGTATTTTTATTCCCTTGCCCCAGTGTTCAAGCTGTGATGGGACGAGGGCTTGGGCACGTACCCTCTCCAGGGCTGTGGGGGAAGCAATCAACAGTCTTTTATCAACAGTGGCTTCTCTGATGTCTGTAGACCTTATTTTGTTGGGGAGGAGCTAACGCCTCTGGTGGTGAACTAGTATTTCACACTTGGTAATGCTTCTCCCCTGACGGTGGGGGGGAAATTTTATAGTTACAGAGCAAACATTTAAACATTACCTTATAACATGAGATACAGACATTTGTAAGTAGGATTAATACATGCAGCATCCTACAAGCTGTTGATAAGGTCTAAACACATTCTTCTCAATTTAACATCTATTTTAACAGGTGACCCAGAATGGTTCCCAACTATGCATTTGTCAGTGTTCAGTGAGGCCCAGGCCTTGGAATGAGCTGGCACCTGGTCTGCCAGCGTCCCAGCAGGTATGTTGGTTACCTGCGCAGCCTTAACTACTGCTCTCCAAACCTTACAAAAAGTCCATTTTATGAATATAAACAACCTAACCGGCAAACTTGGTAGCTTAAATTAAGGCAGGCAGTTCTATGTTCCTACTGGCTGTAAGGTATAACGCTATGTACTTACAGTTAGATTTGATGTCTCTGTATGATGTGCAGTGTTTCAGAGGGGATGTGCATTTCCTTTGCGAACAAGGGTGATAAAGTTGGGACTCAAGCTGTGTGGAAGCTTTTTCCCCCCCTCATATCTGTAGCTAATAGTTGTTTTAATGAACACCTCCTGTTTCAGAGAGGCACAGATTCCATATAACATGACATTAGGTTCCCAGAATGAGGACTTGTCACCTAAGTACAAAATTGACTACCCCGTTTTGAAAAATGGCCCATTCCAGCTTGTCTTTAAAATGCGAGTGCATTTGTACTGACTTTTCCCTTTAACGTATGATACATTTAGTATCCGAGACCACTGGATGAAGATTCACAAATTTTTAATTTAGAATATCCCAGGAGAAAAAATGATTGCTTTTCTCCCACAGTAAAGAACTGGGAACTTCATACTGTATGCTGAACTCCAGTTGTGAATTTGGATCAATCTGGTAGAATTAGAAGAGGCAATTTTCTGGAATATTCCCTGCTAAAAAGAAGGAGCTTGTATGTATTGGTGTTGTAATGAATGGGGTAATGGGTACCACTACCCTGCTTGGAATCAGAAGTGCTCATTCTGTGTGTCACAGGCCTGATAGTTCTACCAAGAGCAGGAGATTTCTTGGTTAGTTCAAATGGCAGGGGCATGAGGTTTTAGAGCAGGAAGATCTCAATTATGTCCTTGTAGTGTCCATGATGGACAGTATAATATAGTAAGAAGAAAAAGTCTTAGATATCATAGAGTAGTTAAAAACATAACATTGTTTCTTACTTAGAAAGACATCTCAGAAAATGAATTTTAAGTTAATACTAAGCAAAAAAATTCTCACTCCTCCTTCCTGCCCCCGCAAGCTGATTTCAAAGCCCAAACCAAGGGTTCTTAGAGTTTCTCAAGGCACTGGCACCCATTGTCGGCCATCTGTGCTATTTAATTCTGAACTACCTGTTTGTTACTTGGCTGCATTAAATACTGCTGCATACTTTTGCCTATACAAGAGCTCAGTAATACAATCACGTGCTAATAAATTCATTTTCTACTTGACTGCTCATTCGTTGAAATATTAGTACATAGGAAGAATACAATCATGGAAAATGTGGGATTGACTAATCAATGCGTAACGAATAATCAGAAAATACAGATGTCTGAGAAAGACGATGGCAGTGCAGAATGACTGCACCAAGGAAGGGAGGAGAAAAGCAGGGAGAACTGCGAGCAAAACATGACATTGAGCCCCTCCTGCATCCCCTAAATGTCCCAATTTCCTTAGACACATCAAGGTGCTGCTGATTGGGTCACAGCTCGAAGTGCACCTCATCGTGACAGAATCATTCTGTGAGGTTGCCATATTCAGTTGACAATCTTGGGGGCATTTAAAGGATCTCTAGTGACAAAGGAGAGTTATGTTTTTTTTCTACCATTGTGTTATGCAAATTTGTCTTATTCTGCTTTTCCACAACCTGTTGTTTCCATGTGTAAACTACACAGGCTAAATTCTAGTGATGGCCTAACTGTTCTGGAAACACCACCACATCCCCCACCTTTGTCTGATTCCAGAGCTGAACCCCAGCCAATCTGTGTATATGCCTGCAAGACTGAAAATATTCATATGTAGGTTTTTGTTTTTTCTTCATTATTTTTCTTTGTTGCTGTAACTGTGGGTTCCCCCTGGGAACAGAAGCAAAAGGATATGAACAGCAAGAGAGTTGTTTGCTTGTTGTTTTCATGAAATTCCCAACCCAGTTTTGCAGCCCCAGAAAGTTGGAATAGTGTGGTTAAGTGTATAATCTTCTGGGTGCTGATGCAAGCTGGATCTCTGAACCTCAGCACCTACCCTGGAGGTGGCAGCAGGGTTCCTTCCCATAATGCGGCTTGTAAAGTGCTTTGGGATCCTTTGGAACCGAAGTTGCTAATCACTACGTAAATGATAAGTCGCACATGCTTCTTTCTAGGAATGTTTTGCATCTCTGCTGGAGCCCTGAAGGTGCCTCCTCCACCTTTTCATGGTGCAATATATCCCACTAGCCATTCCATTTTCTGAGCACCAAGTCTGGGCTACCCTCTCATTCCCAAAGAGTGCTCAGATTGGCTCCACGGAAAGCTCAATCAACAGCCCTCCTTAGCATTTCAGAGGGAAGGATGAGGTGTAACAAGTCGAGAGAGAGAGAGAGAGAGAGAGTGTGTGTGTGTGTGTGTGTGTGTGTGTGTGTGTGTGCATGTACACGCACATGCAGCTGCCATCTGAAGAATGGAATCAGAACTGCTTGAGTGCCTTCTTTAATCTGTCTCTAGTGGTTGAAGGCAGGGGATGTAAGACCTCTACTGTAACTGGGTGCATTACAGGGTGTTGTTGTGAGTGCTGTGGTACATGGTATACCTGACCTCTCTAGATGTATGTCTATACAACATGAGGAGGGCGCTTCTATGACATTCCAGGATGCAATCCAGACTAGTTGGGGGTTCATGTCACCACTTGCCCTGCAACCTTAGGTGCCTTACAATGCTTTGCTGCTCTAGCTCCCACCTGGGCCTCTCACATATAGCCTGCAAGTCACACCCTGAGTATCTGTGTGTAGCTGCAGCCTGCCAGCAACACTCCAGTCAACACTCTGGCTTCCACTTGCAGGGTGACCCCAACACACTCCCAGTCCCAGATTTTCACCAAAAACATGGATTCTGCACTATCTAGCCCTCTCCTGGACAGTTCAAATATTAGAGGTTCGATGTCTCTGTACAACAGTTTGCTACCTTAACTGGAGTTACCAAACAATTCAGTTTAAACACAACACTAGATTAGATTTGATTAAAGAAGAAAACAAGTTTATTTAACTACAAAGAGAGAGGTTTTAAGTGAGCACAAGTGTAAGGTATTAAAGTCAGAAATTGTTACAAGAAAAATAAAGATAAAAACGCTTTCTAGTAACTAAAACTTAACAAACTAGACTCAGTTCAAGGTGAAATCCTTACCACATGTTCCCAGCAATAGGGCAACCAAATTCTCAGGTCAGAACCCTTCCCAAAGTCTAATGGCTGGTTCCTTTGTCTTCTCAGCTGAGAGAGAGAGAGAGAGAGAGACAGAACACCTGGGGTGTTTTTGCTCCTTTTATGATCCAGTCACCCTTTGAAATACGTTTTCCAGAGGGGTATCCCTAGATAAAGTTCATTCTAGCTGTGAGGATGGACATATGGGGTCTCGTGGTAAAAGAGGTTCCATGTTTGTTGTTTGTTAAGATGCAGATCCACCTATTCCTTCCCTGCTTCACTGCCAAAGAATGGCCACTTGATTAGTGACTGCCAGTCAACTTTGACACCTGGCTAGAGGTGTTACCTTCTCCTTTGTCTTTGAGAAACTGATTTACCCACTATCCTGACTTGTCTGGTAAACACATTTCAGTCATAACTTCAATTTATGTTCAGAACTGTACATATAATGTTGCTACACACATTTCACCATGATATTATTGACCAGCAAGTTATTAGTTTTCAAAGGATACCTCACAAGGTGTATTTTGTACAAAGATTATTACAGTGGTGTGTAGGGTGTGAATACAGGGGTGTATTTGGTCACAGCTTCCCAGTGCTGGCAGAAGGACACTCACTAGCTCTGCTTCAGCTAGCATGCTAAAAATAGCAGAGAGAGTCATTTCCCTGTGGGCACGTACTGCACTAGTGGTAGGGCATCCAGGTAGGGCATCCCTTTCTTCCTATCCTCTATATTAAACACTTGGCAGCATTGCCAGTGTTCCGCTCTCCCAGGAAGTATGAAAGCAAGGACATAGAAAGATTTAGTGAATGATCATTCAGTGTTTCTTCATGCATCTTTTCATTGTTCCTCTTTGTAAATCTTAAACCCACAAGCCTGGATGGTGCTGATGGGGCATATTCTAATGTTTATACTAGGAAATATTTTAAAAAATGTATAACCTTAGTACCTCTCCTGCTTATACTGGGCCAGAATCTGATCTCAGTAACTCAGGTCTAAACTTCAGAGTTAACTTGATGGGAGTCATTTTCATTCAAAGGCGTTATTATATGTTGGGTTTACACCACTGTGACTGAGATCAGAATCTGAGCCTTAGAAATGACTCTCCCTTCTTAAAAATAACGGAACTGCGTCCCCATTTTTGGCTCTCCCAAGTCGAGGGGGTGAGGCAGCCTGTGACCTTTCTGCCTTTGTTCCAAAACAAAATAAGATTCAGACTGGGAATGGCTCTTTTGATTTTCATAAGCAGTTCAGTGATCCTGTTGTGTGAAATGATTCCTGCTGGCAGAGATCAGTGCAAGTGATGGGCAGGGTTATTAATGTGTCTGTGTGATTAACCCCAAAGGGGTGTGTGTGTGTGTGTGTGTACATGAGTATTCACTGAAGTTTATCTCTCTCCCACCTCCCTCTCTAGTAGACATATGTTTGTATATTCACTCCAGTTCCAGATTATCTTTCTAGAGGACCCTGTTTCGTGTGATAAAAAGGTTATTCACTTTGGAGGGGGGGGGGGCAAGGATGAGGTTAGGAGTGAGGTGTGTGTGTGTTTAGATAAATTCATAATAGCAGGAAACTAGAGCAGATGCTAATCAGGAATATGTGTGTATTTTGGAAATGTAAGCAGGATGGGCTAGGGAAGGTGATAGAAGGTTACGGGGTAGAACTGACTGGGGTAAATCTATTTTGTAAAGCATAAAAGAAGTTAATCTTGGTTGGCAGTTGTGTAGGGGAGAGGGGGTATTTTTTCTTCTCCTCTCTTTCTGCCGACCAGTGTTCTTTATCGTCTCTCTCAGGTAGATCACTCATTGCTATAAATTTTCTTATCTCCAGTGCTTTTCCAAT